AAGTTATCCTACAGATAATACTTCATGTGCACATGGGCAAAATGACACAGATGTTGCACAAGGTTGTTTATGTAATTTCGTAACAAAAGATTGGAAACAACCTAAATTACCATCAATAGCAGTACGAGAAATACATTGTGGTACTCTGAGACAATGGAATATTATGGAAGAATAACAAAATGAAAACAGAATGTGCCGATATAGAAAGATATCCTCCCGATATTTTTAAATTTAAAAAAGATATAGAACAGTGTAAAAATGGGAGAAAATAAGAACATGTTTCTATTTGCTAGTATATTCACAAAAATACTCTCGGAGGATAGGTAAGAAATTAATAGTGGCTTCTGTAGGGTGTGAGAGGGAATTAGGCAGACATAGGACAAGAATGAGGGGGAAAATATTTTCTTTGGTTTTTGAACCACATGTATTCATTAGTTTTTTTTTTAAAAAAGTAAATAAATGAATTTTTTAAAATATTCACTAAATGCATCTTAAGATAGTATGGGAAAGCCAAGTATCTTTTAAACGTCCAAGCTGAATAAATACAGTACCCGAAATTCACTATGCTCATCTTTTCCTCTTTGAAGACAGAGAAAATGCTTTTCTTCTCTTGGCATCCTCCTATCTGAAAAAGTACCTGGCACATAGGAGGTACTCAATTAATTTTAGAGGAATAAATGAATCAATGAAGTTTTAAAAGTTAAGTTAGTCACGAAGGAAAAGACTACACACTCTTCTCACATTCAGATTTTTTTTCCAGCAAGTAACGATTATTTTTTAGAGAAGACGCAAAATAAAAGTTCCAATGGTCCAAGTCGCTATTTTAAGTGCTCATTTATCAGCTCTAATCCTAAAGAGGCTGTTAAAGTAGATTATTAAAGCAAAGATAAAAAATCAAGTAAAATAACTGCACTGCCACACTATGGTACCATATAGGTTCATAAACCAGGTTTATCATTTCCATCCAGTCATGTGCCAAATCACTGTTCCTTCTCTTGCCAATGAGAGATATCAGGATATGTTCACAACTAAGCCATGACAGTTAATGAGGGGTGGAAGACATTGAGCTTAGAGAATGTGCTATAAACCATCAAAATCCACCACAAAACACACCCAGTATTAAAAATGATCTAGTGCTAGTATAATAGATAACACTGGGGGAAATGTTCAGGGCCAGAAATGAAGCCTACAAAATGAGCTGGTGACTGTATATTAGATTAGTGATTCTCAACACTGACTGCACATTATAATCACCTAGGGAGCCTTTAAAAATACTGATTCTAGGGCTCCACTCCCAGAGATTCTGATTAAATTTCTGTGGGGTGGAGCTCAGGAATTCCTATTGAAAAAAAATAGTAACGTCGATGTGAGGTCAGGGTTGAAAAATGCTTCATTGGACCATGGGAGGGATGGAGGGAATTTTTTTCCTTTTCTTACATAAATGGATGATTTAATCAGCTGGTGGCAGCCATTACAATTCACGCAAACACAAAGTTTTTCTGATTTATCTCTTCTCCTGATATTTTCCTCAAATTCCCTAGACCAAACCTTCCCCAAAACTCCATGCTTGGACGATATGATTTCCTATGGGTCTCTTCGCTTGTTTTTGTTCTTGCCTCATATTTTCACCTTGCGCAATGACAAGCGGTTTTTCTTATATCGAGGACTCTATGTGTAAGGTATTTGTAATGAAAATTTCTCAGATTTGGCTTCCATTCTGACCTCTGCCATTATCTAACGAGATTGTACAGCTGCTTGGTTTCCTCGACTACACCAAATTAATTGGGATTCATAACCTCCAAGGTTGTCTTACCCCACCAGTAAATCTTCAAACCCATTTTTTATAGTTCCCCTAAATATTCTTAATTGAAGTCAGACAAAATCCTCTTCACCCCTCAACTTATTTTTTGCTTCTTTCCTTCCAATACGATTGTTATTTATGCTGTTTCTTCTGCTTTTTCATTCCCTCAGCCAATCATATGCACAATCACGTGACTCAAGCTCATCTTCTCCGCAGGCTTTCAGGAACCCAGACCACTTTATATTCATTATATTCTTACTTTATGCTTTCCTTGGTACTCTGTGGTCAAGATGCTCTTTACTCAAAGTGCAGTTCAGGGTTAGCAATATCAACATCACTTGGGGGCTTGTTAAAGATGCAGAATCCCAAGCCTTTTCTGCATTTCAACCAATTGCCAGGTGACTTCACGCACATCAAATGTCGAGATGAACGGGCCGATACCCGTTTATTACCACTTGCTTTGTTTTCTAGTTTTCCTTTCCTCTCCTTTCCTTTCCTTCCTTCTCTCTCTCTCCTCTCTCTCTTTTTTTTTTTTTTAAAGATGGAAACTTGCTCTGTTGCCCAGGTGGGAGTGCAAGTGGCACCATTTCGGCTCACTGCAACCTCCCCCTCCTTCAAGTGATTCTCCTGCCTCAGTCTCCTGAGTAGCTGGGACTACAGGCGTGCACCACCCCACCCAGCTATTTTTTTTTTT